AAAAACACTTCAAGCATATTTTTTGTTCTTACAAATCAGTGAAAGATTTTTTATTTCACCTGTAACTCCACCAGATGGCCCCGGTTGGTTAGATTTATCAAAGCCATTCACAACATGGCGGATGGATTTGTGGATTTCCGTTTGATCCTCCGATCTTTTGACAATATCTAGAAATGTCTTGCCCTTCTTGTTGACAATATCGCTGAATGCTCTTTTTTTCAGGAGCAAATGTATTAGTCGATCAGAGTTCTTTTTGGCGCAAATGTGCAGAGCAGTGTCACCATCGTCATTCTGCTCATTTAATTTAATTTTCCACTTTTTCAGTAGCAATTCCTGAACTATTTTTTCTGAGTTTTCTTCCACGGCGCAATGAAGTAGAGTATTGTTCTTTTTGGCACTGTCTCTAATGCTCTTGGGTTCTATGCAGCAAGAGTTGAGCATGCTTTGGACCTTTGATAAATCGTGGTCTCTGATCGCCTGGAAGATAACTTCCTGTTGCACTTTTGCAGTAGACGTTGGATGATTATTTGCCATTGTTGACTGAAAATTTATTAAAATTAAAAACTAGTAACAAGAGTTTTAATTAACCAACTAATGTTATCCATTTGGCATTACACAATGTGATAAGTATAATTCCATTGTCTATCTAATAAATCTATTGTCATGATGTCAGTAGTAAGATTGATAAAGCAATCTAATCAGTGCCTTCTAAATTAATTAGTGATCAGGTGATAGCGTGCTTTTCAGACGTCGCGATCATATGAATTTTATATTTGATATAACGCCGATATTAAAATTTTAAACACTAATGAATTTTAAACTAGTCGATAGTCTTGAATGAAACAAAAAATATACTTAAATGTACGAATATCATATACAATAATCGTTAGATTTTATTAGAAACTAGTTGGTTTGGTATTTAGCCTTGAGGCAAGTTACATGAACTTCCCGATATGTGTAATTATTCGACTTAATCAATAAAAAATAATTTAATTTATGAGTGATTAGAAGTACTCCGAGTGAATTTATTACACATGATAGAAAACGAACACGTTAACTCGGAGTATTTTCTAAAAGCAGATTTTCTAAAATCAATAATTTCTATAATTGAACCAGTTTCCGTAGGACTTTATGATTTGGTATGTTCATTAGGTTCAAATACTCTATCGTTATACCAAGTAAATCGTCTAATTTTAATTTTAACAAACGTCGAAAAAACTACTTATTATCTCAAACTTTTGTATTGGCTAATTGGCAGAAATTCGAATATGTGTTATGAAAACAAACTCTTTTTATATAAAACAACAATTATCCCAATCTGGACATACGGAATTGAGCTATGGGTGTGCGCAAGCAATTCAAATATTAAAATAATACAAAGAGCGCAATCGAAAATTTTAAGGTGAATTTGTGAACAGTATATTGCAAATAACACTCTACATAAAGATTTAAAAATTAAAATTATTAATGAAATGATAAAAAGAAAGGAGCAAAAAATACCACAAAAAATTACCACCAAAACAAATATCTAGAAGAATTAAGCAAAGAATCTCCTACTCGAAGATTGAAAAAAGAATGGCTATACGATTTTAAATAAATGTCAAAAAAAAGATCTCATAGGAGATAATTTCTTAAATACATTTACACTCAGCATATTGTCTTAAAATGTATATTATTTTGATCGGCAATAAATCTATGCAAATAAATAGATAAACTATCTCAAACTTTGATTAATTTTTAAAATTAAACTATTTGTCGTAAGACCTTAATATTTCAGTAAGTTCTATAAGACCATGATATATATCGCCAAAAAAAAGTTCCGTAAAAATCGGCTTAATTTTTTTTCAACAGTTAATTGCAAGAAAACGGCTCGGTATATTTTCAATTAAAACTAATCAGTATAATTCCCAACTAATATCTTTTGAACAGTTTTTCAGTTTTTAAAATCCACACGTCTAACACTTTTTTCCAAATGACAAAGAAACGGCTTGCAGATCGTCGCACAAAACTGATAAACGACAGTCCTCATCGAGATACATCAAGCGGCTTTTAAATTTCTGAAATCGGTTCAGGCTTTTTTGAGAAAACGTCGATGAAAGGTCTAATTTTGACAAATGGCAAAAAAACGATACCAATTTTTGCAAACTTTGACGAATTTTTAAAGTTAAACGAGTTGTTGTCGTAGGGCCGTAATATTTTAGTATGATCTAGAACAGGCATCGGCAACCTACGGCACGCGTGCCAGACTTGGCACCCGATGGGGTTCTGAATGGCACTCTATAAAGTAATCAGGAAAATCGCAAATATTGAGCGATTTTTAAATAAGAGAAAATGTTTAATTATAATTATTTTTCTAACGTAGCTCGCTAATGTATGTAATTCAACTTACGTTGAAGTACTTAAAGATTAATTTTCCAGAAGATGCAAAGACTTTGAAGCTTATGTGCCTATATTTTGAAGAAATTACAAATAAATCTGGAAGATGACTCTATGGAAAAATCGACAGCCATATTAAATTGTTGAATGACATTGCCGGAAAAGATTTAATTGTATAAAAAATTGTATGCGCTCTCCTTTCAGCTTTTGGTTCCACATATCTCTGTGAACAATTTTTTTCTCACATGAAACATATTTTGAGTTCACAAAGAAATCGTTTAACAACTAAACATTCAGTATCTTGTGTGAAATTAAAAGTTACAAATTATACCCCGGATATTGAAATGTTAAGGAAAAGGTGCAGGCACAAGGTTCACATTAAAGTTGTTTAGTTTATATTCAGTGGCGCTTAAGCTTTCTGCCGCCCTAGGCCCTATTATCTGATCAGGCGCCCTTTTTAATAGACAATTTTTTACTTTTTTAATTAAACTATAATTTTGTTCTAAATTACTTAAATACAACCTTTAACTTTGCGTAAAGTACTCGTAAGTTATAGTAATCGCAAAAGATCGAAAATGAAAATTTTTGCATATTTTTACGTTTCAGACATTTCTAAACATTTTGGCATACCTTAAAAAAATTGATGTGTGTGTATGTATGTATGTTTCATTCTCATAGATAAGAAAGTCCTGATTAGTTTTTCGCTAAGACAGGTTTAGCCGTTTGGAAAATACAGAACAAAAGTGCAAAAATTGCAATTCAAGTTTTGAAAGAACCGAGAGTTCTACTAACCGAGACTTGTACTAAAGGAATGAATAATTACCTAAATTTTTGGGAAGGCAGGCATTAGTAAAAGCGAGAAAAATTCGTCAAAGTTTTAGCCCACGATTTTAAGTCGATTTTAAAAATCGAAAAATCATTCGAAAAATCTTGGTTGGAAATCGTATTCATTAGTTTTTGGTAAAAACCTGCCGGACTTATTAGGTTTGCGGGACGATCGGACGAGCCGGTTGTTTGAAATTAGAATAAAAAAGCAAAATATTACGTTTTTGGAATAAAGCCAAAACCGATTTTTAAAATTGAAAAAAGATTTCTGAAAGATATCAATTAGGAGTCAAAATATTTGACAATTTTAAAAATTCATCAAAGTTTGATAAAACTTCATAGTCAAAATTTGTGCTAAAAGGCGCTTTTGTGATGTGATAAATCAAAATTTAATTTTCAAAAACGCCTGAACTGATTTCACAAATTAAAAAGACATTGGACTAAACTCGATAAATAGAACCGAGATATTCAAAAATTTCGCTTTTTTTAAATTCTAAAATAATTCGATTATTTGAAAATTTTAGATATTTTAATTTTCTCAAAATTTTGAAACCAGCGGATTTGCCTTTTCGGAAAACTAATCATTTATTCATATCACTAAAATACCACGTACAAAATATTTTTTGAGTCATTCCAATCGAATGATCTGTACTCTCAAAACCTTCATGATCACTTTTGCACCTTCTGCGCTCTGTATCTCTAAAAATGCTAAACCTGCCTGCATAAACAGTGTGCCTCTCAGTCAAAGCCAAGCGAATATTTTTTGAATCATTCATGGCCATTGATCCTTGCAAAGGACATTTAAACTATCTAAGAAATAAACTTTGAAAATTAAAAATATTGGTACGGAATGATTCAAAATAATGAAGACAAAATTTGTAATAATTAATAATTTTTTTATAAAAAATCTAATAATTTGATGTCAATGATCATTTTTTATCACCAAATGACACCTTTTTGGATCACCAAAAACGCTGATCATGCTCTCGCAAAATTTTCGATAGTTCTTATTTCGTCATACAAGTAAAAAGTGTCTTGAATTATTCAAATCGGACGCTTCGTTTTTGAAAAATTGAATTAGCATATTTTTAACTCTTTGCTCCCTGTTCCGAAACTGTCTTTGCAAAAAACTAATCAGCACGTCTTCCCGAATGCCAATTGGCAAAAAATTGTAACCGCATAAACACATGCATACATCCATTTTATCTAAGGCATGTCAAAATGTTCAGGAGAACTTGAAGCGTAGAGGTATATAACCAATTTGATTTACGATTTTTTAGGATTATTATAACTTAGCCTTCCTGAAGTTGATAATATGATACATCAAGAAAATATCAATGCGGCACCCACGAATAATAAATTTGATTGGAAAACGCATTACGTTCTATTTCATCGAAAATGATATCTAAATTTACAAAAAACAATCAGGATCTATCCTTAAAATGAATTGTCGTGTCATTTCATCGAGTTTAAAATTTTTACATTTTGAAAAATTTGCCGCCCCCTAAATTATGCCGCCCTAGGCCCGGGTCTCACGGGCCTTTGGGGTAATCGGGCACTGTTTATATTAGATATTCATGTTATTTGTTAATAAATATGTTTAAAAGATAAATTTGGTTATAATTCTTCTCCCCTAAAACCTAACTATATATTTCAAAATTAAGGCGGCACTCTAAAACATATTGGTAGAGTGGCTTGGCACACTACAGTTAAAAGCTTGCCGACCCCTGATCTAGAAGACTATGGTATCTATCGTAAAAAAATAATAAAAAAATCGTCGAAATTTTTTTTTTAACGGCCGATCTCTACCAATAACTAATGAGCACGATTCCCAACCAATATCTTTCGAACGGTTTTTGAATTTTTATAATCGATTCAAAATTGCGGAACGTGGACGAAAATTTTTTCATTTTTCTGCGATTTAAAAAAAACGGCTCGGCCGATCGTAGCGAAAAACTGTCAAACGATAGTGCTCATTGAGATACATCGAATGGCTTTTAAATTTTTAAAATCGGTTCAGCCGTTTTTGAGAAAACATCCATTTACGGCAAAAAATCTGTTCACATACACACACACACATACATACTTTTTCCCAATTTCGTCTCATTCGTTCTTGCTTCGTTCAGTAGTAAGTATTGTTACTGCTTGGGATATTCTTTCATATTTTAACGTATAACTTAAAAACTAATCATTATAGCCTAATACTATCTTTGGACGAATTAAAGCTAAATTCTGTATATTTTTGCCTTACACCATATGTTGTTATGAATAAAATTCATTATTAAAAACTGCGTTCGAAAAATGCTCTTTCATTTTCTATATATATACACTCATATGTATTGTAGAACAGGAGTAGTTGGTATTTAATTTAAGTTGTTGCAACTTAGGAGAAAACTTCTGTATATATTTATATATATATATTTATATATATATATATATATATATATATATATATATCTTTTATCCATCTTTGTCAAGTCGTGTTAGAATTCTCAAACTTTAATTCAACAAACTTGTGATTTTACTCAATAGACAGAAACTTTCCACTAGTCCCACATAAATGTATATATATATGTATATATATATATATAAATTGTAACTGGAAGCATTCATATGTCAATTCCATTTAAAACTTTTGAAAGTTTCAAAACTTAATTATATCATCAAAGAAAATGGATTTCTTAAGATTAATAATAAACTTCACATATGGCAGATTGTATTTTATTATATTATATAATATATAAAGCTATTTAGAAAATTAGAACTTAACTTTGATTTATATATATATACTAGCTGACCCGGCAAACGTTGTTTTGCTAAATAGGGTATATTCTAAACCATTTCTAGAGAATCAAAAATATTAATACTTTAAGTGCATAAGGATGTGTTGTTTGAATGCTGTATACAATTAGGTATTATAAAAACAATAAACCCCATTAGTTTGTCTATATTTTGTCAATACAATCCAACTGGAAGATTTATACCCTTTCTATAGAAAACATCGTATAATCCAATCCGAGTCTTTTTTGGTCTTTCGACTTATTAATTACGTTTCAAGTTTTACAGATTTTTTTTGTATTCTGGATTTTGTGTATAATTGTAAATAATACTACTGATCTTATACAAAATTTTCAAATTTTTGCGAGGAGAGATAGAAAATGAATTAAGTACTTCTTCTTTGACCTGCTTTTTGAAAAGTTTCAAGTTACATTCGATGAATTAAAGTAAATTTAATAAAAAGTATACATGTAGAGCAGGGCGAGACACAAAGGTCCAATTTGACTTTGAGCAAATATAAACTATATTGTGAAAACCATAACAATTATATCACAACAAATAAGACTTATCAAACGAACAATTATCTGACTACGTTCAGTAAACTGACTTCTACTTTATCATTGTAGAAATGTGCTTTTCTGATGTCTTTCAAAAATTTGTTATCGTTATCTAGACCTTTTTATCCTATATGCGGGGTAACTTGTAACGGGCAGGTGGCAAAAGGTTTAAAGCCTCATTATAATTTTAAAGTTATTTTACAAAATAATTACATTTTCAACTAATGCTAAAACGACCAACGGAAGAAAATACTTTTATTATGGATTTTCAAAGATTACCGTTTATCTCCCCCATTTTAAAGATTATCGTTTTCAAATCAAGGTTGTAGCTGGCTATACATCTTTTTCCTCTACTTTCAAATATTGTTGTTAAACAATGCTTAACTTTACTGATATTTGGCACATCAGTGGTGGACCTTTTTAATCTCGGACCTTCATATATTACTATCTATTCTGCGATAAATTCTGGGAAATTATAACTGGAAAAATGTTATTCGACAAAATGTCCATTTGATCGATACCAAATTTAGGTACTGAATTTAAATAACATAAATAAAAAATAATATAACCTAGAAAATATTTTATAAATACCAATGAGTATACAATTATACAAATGAGATCTTTCAGAGCACCGTGTTTGAGAAAAATATGCCAAAAAGTGCATTTTTATATTAACATATCAAAAAAGTTGATATTTTGAGTCTCTAGTAACACTTGCGGCCCGTTTATTAACGTTTTTGTATATAAATAAAACTACAAACAAAACTACTTACTACAAATTTATTGTTTTATTTACATTACGCTTCAACAAAAATTTTCAAATTAAAAATGTAAAGTTTCTACGCGATTTTGAAATAATATCTCACCTTCCGACAATCTACTAATTAGCACGAATTTTTCAAGACTAAGACTGGCTAAATCGATTCAGCCATTTTCGAGTTTTATTCGGACATTTTAAAGAGAGCTCCATTTTTATATATAAGATATATATATATATATATATATATATATATATATACTAGCTGACCTTATAATGATATTCTGATGCTTGTTTCTAATTACAGGACATTTTTTGTATTTTTAATCATAACTTTTGAATTGTTGCAATTCAAAGTATAAAAATCAGTTATGTTTTCAAATCAGACTATGTGTGTCACGTGACTTTTCGTTGCGTTCCCTTTGCTCGTAGCTACATTACAGAAATTTTCAGTTTTAACACTTTTCACTCGCGAATTCCGAGATTTGTATGAATTTTGGCATCCGAGTCGAAAGGGTTAAAATTAAAAACAAAACATGTTCAGTTAATATTGTTTGTTTTCTATAATTATTTTATACGTAATGTATGTTTGGTTTTTTCTATATGTATTTATTCAAAAATGGTTTTACCTGGTGTGGTATTTATATTCTTTTAATTATTATAAATTAAAATTAAATTTACTTTTGAAAACTTTGTTAATATTTTTAGATACTGTTAACAAATAATTGCTGAATGATGACACACAATCCGTGTCGAAACGTATATTATAAATAAATATTTGTATTTATTTGATTTTATTTCGACGACTGGCTGAAAATTATCAAGATATATATTTATATATAAATTATTACTGAAAAAAAATTGCAAGGAAACTTATCACTAATGCATATGTTAATTTTTAAACATATTTTTGTATAAATAAATATTAAAATACAAAAATTTTATTCTTGAAAACAGTGCAGATACAAGTTAATTTCTCGTTCTGCAGACTTTTACTAATTTACAGAATGTAAAATCATTTATTAAAGTCAAATATTGTATTTATATATTTTTTTACATTTCAATAGTTCATAGATTTCTATATGTCCTTTTTTATATGCAAGGTCCATCGCGGTTTTGTTACAGTTATTTACGACATTAAGATTTGCACCTTTGTCTATCAGTAGTTGGACAACATTTTTGCGGTCATTATTGGCTGCACAGTGCAGTGGTGTCCAATTTATAAAACTGTTGGCATTGATATCGGCTCCTTCACTAAGCAAACACTGCACTACTTCCAGGTGCCCGTATTGAGATGCACCGTGCAATGGAGACCATTTTGTATTACTTCCAGCATTGACATTGGCGCCTTTACTAATCAGAAATTGCACTACCTCCAAATAACCTATTTGAGCTGCGATATATAACGGACTCCTAGTTCTGTTGTCAACAGCATTGACATCAGCAGCTTTACTAATCAGAAACTGCACTACTTCTAAGCAACCATTTTGAGATGCACTATGTAATGGAGTCCAACTACTTTCAGTAACGGCATTGACATTGGCACCATTATTAGCCAGAAACTGCACTACCTCCAAGTGACCTTTTCTAGCAGCTAAGTGCAGTGGTGTCCAATTTGTGTTAGTTGTGTCATTGACATTGGCGCCATTACTAGTCAGAAACTGCACTACCTCCAAGTGACCTTTTTCAGCAGCTAAGTGCAATGGAGTCGAATTTGTAATACTATCAGCATGAACATTGGCGCCTTTACTGATAAGAAACTGCACTACCTCCAAGTGACCATTTTCAGATGCAATATGCAATGGAGTCCAATTTTCTTTAGTTACAAAATTGACTTTGGCGCCTTCACTAACTAGAAATTGCACTACCTCCAAGTGACCATGTTGAGCTGCAATATATATCGAAGTGTATATTCTTTTGCTATATGCATTGACATTGGCGCCTTTACTAATCAGGTACTGCACAACCTTCAACTGACCATTTTCAGAGGCCCAATGCAATGGAGTCAAATTTTCTATATCAACAGCATTAATATTTATACCCTTATTAATCAGGCATTGCACTACCTCTAAATGACCATGTCGAGATGCATAGTGTAATGGAGTCCCATGCTCACTAATAGTATTGCTACCTTTCATCATCGAGTATTTGAATATATCAAAGTAACCATTTTGGGAAGTATAAAAGCAAGAGAGAGGAAATATTTTAGTAACAGCATTAAGATCGGCGCCTTTACTAATCAAAAATTCTACTACATCCAAGTTTCCATTTATAGAAGCAATATGCAATGAAGTGATTTGTCCTATAGAACCAGCATTAATATTGGCGCCCTTACTAATTAATACTTCGAGTACATCCAAGTGACCTTTATTAGTTGCGACGTGTAAAGCAGTTAGGTATTTATTACTGGCAGCTTCAATGTTCGCTCCCCTGTCGATTAACATCTGAACTACATTTTGAAATCCATTTTTGGTCGCGCAATGGAGTGGCGTCAACTTGTCCTTACTTTCGGCATCTATTTTGGCACCAAGGCCTAACAGGTATCGAACCCTTGCTATTTCTCCGTTATATGCTGCGATGTGCAAAAGCGACCAATTCTTATTAGCAATTTTGTTTATTTTAGCATTCCTGTCCAATATTTGCGGAGATACTCTTCGCTTCTTATTATCCTTTGTATGCATTGGATCAACTTTTGTTATTTTCTGCTCCTCGCTTTGCCCTTTAACCGAAATCTCTTTTATTTTCATGTTGAAACGATTACTATTAAAAATATTTTTTAATAATTTATTTATGCCAAAAATTACGATAAGATAATTTTCAGAATCAACTGCAAGATCTTTTTAATTTTAAAACAGTAAAAAGTTTTTATATCTTACCTGTAACTACTTGATGCATTATCTCAACCTGCTGGTTGCTTCTGTAGATTCCTGTTCGAATCACCAGCCTCCTAAGAATATTCAGAAATGTTAGACCTTCCTTGTTGACAACATCACTGACCGCTCCGTTCTTCAGGAGCAAATGTATAAGTCGATCGTAGTTGTTCTTGGCACAAAGGTGCAGGGCAGTGTCACCATCGTCATTCTGTGCATTTATATTTATTTCCCACGTTTTCAATAATAGCTCCTGGACTATTTCATACCTATTTTCTTCCACGGCACAATGTAGGAGTGTGTTGTTTTTATCGGTTTTATCTGTAATGTTTTTTGGTTGAATGTCACAGGAGTAGAACAGACTTTGGACTTCTGTCAAATCGTTGTCTCTTATGGCCTGAAAGATTGCCTGTTGTACTTCTGTACTTGTCAGATTATTTCCCATTGTGGTTGACAATATTTTTATATTTACATAACAAACTCTTATTTTTTATATTTATCAAATATTGTTTATTTGATTTTGTACAATATATAAAGTACAGTTCAAGAATATATATAATAACGTTATCGTTATCATACAAATTGCAAATTATCGATTGATAAAAGTAATCAAGTCAGTGCTAGTCAATATAAAGAATCAAATTATCAGTGGTGGCCATGGTGATATTGAACTGAAACTAGAAACATCTTTACTAGGCCTGTAAGATTTTTTATTATTTAAAATATATACTAAATTGTTTTATTCATTTTTCTATATACAAATTTTGATATAAAACGGGTTAAAACCATTGTATTTAAATATCATTTAAATATTAATTGAATTTGTTGTTTCCTTTTTGAATAACTTAAATAGGCAAGCGAATAGGTGTATCTCTTCTTCGGCGGCGAGGTCCAGTGGTTTTTTATCATCGATATTTATTTTATCAGTGTTTTTATCTAGGTCCATCAATATCTGGATGATATTTTTGTGATTATTTACAGCTGCACAGAGATTGATTGATTGATTGAGCTTGCGATCCTATATTAGTAACAGAAGCTGTGCAACTTACAACTGATCATGTAAAACTGCAATTGAAAATATCAATAGTATTATTTTAGTCATTAACTTTTGGACAGCATTCAAATGTAATAGATTCTAATTTATTTTAGCAACATTGAAAACATCGCTCCATTACAAATCAAAAACTTGATTACTTCGATGTGGCTATTTTCTGCGGCCAAGTGTGATGGAGTCCAATTATTGTCAGCAACAGCGTTTACATCGGCGCCATAGTTAACCAATAGTTCGACAACATCCAAGTGGCCTTTTTCAGCTGCAATATGTAGAGGAGTCCAATTATCTTCTAAAACACCATTGACTTTAGCACCTTCACTGATTAAAATGTGCACTACGTCTAAGTGGCCCTTATTTGCAGCAAGGTGCAATGGAGTCCAGTTTTTTTCAGAAACACCATTGACATTAGCGCCCTTACTAATCAAGAACTGGACAACTTTCATGTGGCCATTTTCAGCTGCTATGTGTAAAGTCGTCAATCCTGCTTCAGTAACAGCATTAATATCAGCGCCTTCAGTATTCAGAAGTTGGATAACATCTAAGTAACCATGTAGAGCTGCTATGTGTAAAGATGTACAATTTCTTTTGGCAAGAGCATTTATATTGGCGCCTTTGTCAATCAGAATTTGAACTACGTCAAATTGGCCATGTTTAGCTGCAATATACAAGGGCGTCTGTCCTTTGTTATTGATAGCTTCAATATTTGCTCCACTATCGACCAGTAACTGAACCACATCTTTAAATCCATTCATAGCCCCAAAATGGAGTGGTGTCAACTTGTCTTTACTTACGGAATCTATCTTTGCACCCATAATTAGCAACTTTGTAACTGTTGCTGTTTTCCCGTTGTATGCTGCGTCGTGCAAGGGCGACCAAGTCAAACTGGCAACATTTATTGCTGCGGTATTTGACTCCTCTGCACCAACTTGATTTTGACGAAGATTACTATACCTAGAATTTAGTGATGTAAATAGTCATAATAGCCAAATAGAAACAAATATAATCTACCTGTAACTTGATGCGATGATCCCGGTTGGTTAAATTTATCTGCACTGTTCTTACCCTTATATTTGCTTCTGAGAATTCTTGACTGGATCATTATTCTTCTGATTATTTCTAAAAATGTTTTAGACTCCTTATTGGTCACATCACTATTCACTTCTTTTTTGTTGGTTCCAAAATTACATGCATTTATGTTTCTTTCCTAATTTTCCATTAGCAGTTCCTGCACTAATTCTTCCTCGTCTACAGAAGGCAGGAGTGTTTTGTTTTTATTGAATTTGCCTGTAATGTTTGTGGATTGATTGTTGCAGGATTCGAGCAGACTTGAGACTTTTAGATACTGATTATCTCTGGTAGAATGGAAGATTTCTTTGTATTGCACTTCTGCATTTGAGGTTGGCACAACATTTTCCATCGTGGACGAAAACAATTGAAATTACTTTGTTTTCTTACGGGGATCTTCTCGATTTAAGATGGAACGATATAGCAAGTGTAATTTATTATACCAATTATACCAATTTATTATATCAGTTGCAAATTATCATACAATCGCCAGAAAAAATAATCAAAGCAGTGCTTGCCAACATACGGCGATAGCATAATCGCTAGTGATAGAGGAAATTTTGTTTTTGTCAAACATTGAGACTGAAAATATTTAACCAAGTCCTAAAAGACTATGATGACGTCTTTCTTCAACCAGACAAGGCATTGTTGTGAAAATTGAAATGTCGATAAACTGAAAACTACTCGTAGGATTTTATTGAAACAAAAACTTTTGATTTGCAAAATTTTTGCATTTATTATTAAATGTACTTACTCTTTATTATTCTAGAATGTAATTTGATGCAAATCTTTTTGTCAAAAGTGCTATTGACTTTGACATCATGAAACTGCTGCTCGAAGGAAATGGACATTTATTCATATTTTCAATTAAATGAATTCTTTAGCTGAATTTTAAAGCAAAATTAAATCTTCATTTCTCTATAATGATATAATTAAATACATTTATATTTTACACTTGCATTAGAGAAAAACCAACTTTAATTAAGTTCGTCTCAAAACATTATATACATTTTCTTTTATTTTCAATTTTAATTTGTAAACTTCAACGAAAACAAAATTGGGCACATCCTTCAAAATTATTGCAGCTAATCAAATATCTGCATCTTAATGATATTACAAAATTATCTGATATTGTCTTGGACAGATAAATTTTTCTCAGAAATATTTTTCAATCAAATCGCAACCTAGTTATTTAGTATCTATGGAAGATTTCAAGAAATTTATATGTATAAAATAACTTTTAAATCAAAATTCAAAATTAAATTTTTTATTAATGAAATTTTTTACTAATCTATAGTATAATAAAATCTAGTGCTTAGATATGTCACTGTTTAGTGTGACAGGATTTTTTTATATTTTTGGATGTAAAAAAACATTTTAAGAATATGTATATATATATATATATATATATATATATATATATTATTCTATCATTTATATCCGTCTGAACAGATACTTCTCTGAAATTAAATGACTTTAAGTGATATATCTATTTTTTGCTCCTGCAAAGAAAACTCTCGAAGCAATCTTTGTCATTTATATCCATTAGTGTTTAATTTTTACGTCTCAGAAGAAGTTTTACTTCAATTTCTTGAAGATAATGCATCAAGGATTGTTGACAGTTGATTTGGCAACATTGTCTTTATTAAAAAGTAGCTGGGAAATATAGGGATGAAGTTGAATGTATACTTTGGAAATGAATAGGGATTGAGTACATATAGTGAAAGGATCTTTTTCAGAAAATAAGTAGATGTTTATTTTGTTATCATTTATTTTATTTATTTAAACTGTGTAATGAAATAAAATGTGAACAACTGATTCCATTTATAAAAATATATTTCTGTTTTAGTTTTTACAATTGTTTACAAGAGAATTGTATACTAAAGATTAACTACAATAATATTGGCTTAAATGTTGAGAAGTCTATTTGTCTATCATCTAGATCACTCTGAATTCGATTGGATGCTATTATTCATAAAGAAACTTATCACTAATTCAAGTGTTAATTACTGAATGTATTTTTGCATGAATGATTATAAAAATATGAATATTCTATCTCTGCAAACAAGTGTAGACACAAAAGAATGTTATAAAATATGGATATTCTACCTCTGCAAACAAGTGTAGACACAAAAGAATGTTAGTCTGAAACGTCTGCAAACATTCATTAATTTTACAAATGGAATGTAAATGGTTCTGTTAAATTATTTTATTTTAGAATACATTTAAGATACAATACATAAAAAAACTTTATTTCTAAATATTATTTGGTTGTTTGAGTTTGCAGTAGTTCAACAATTTCTTTATATTCTTTCTCAACAGCAAGGTCCATCGGCGTCTTGTTATCGGTATTTGCTACATCAGGATTTGCGCCTTTGTTTATCAATAGTTGGACGACATTTTTGTGGCCATTATAGGTTGCACAGTGCAGTGGTGTCCAATTATGAATATTGCCAATATTTACTTTGGCGCCTCGACTAATCAAAGACTGCACGACCTCTAAGCGGCCATATTGAGATGCGATGTGCATTGGAGTCAAATTTTTTTCTGCAACGGCATTGACATTTGCGCCTTTACTAATCAAAAATTTTACTACTTTCGAGTGGCCTTGTCCGGATGCGATGTGCAATGGAGTCCAATTTTCGTTACTAGAGGCATTGACATCGGCGCCTTTACTAATCAAAAACTGCACTACCTTCAAGTGGCCATGTTCAGATGCAACGTGCAACGGAGTAAAATTTGCCCATTCAACAGCATTGACATTGGCGCCTTCACTAATTAGAAGCTGCACAACCTCCAAGTAGCCAGTTTCAGATGCGAAGTGCAATGGTGTAATTTTGTGTTCAACAGCATTATCATTGGCGCCTTTACTAATCAGAAGCTGCACTATCTCTAAGTAACAACATTGAGCAGCAACGTGCAATGGAGTCAAATATAAGATATTAGCAGCATTAATATTGGCGCCTTCACTAATCAGAATCTGCACTGCCTCTAAGTGACCATATTGAGTTGCAATGTGCAATGGAGTGTTATTTAGGTCATTAGCGGCATTAATATTGGCGCCTTCACTAATCAGAAACTGTACTACCTCCAAGTGACCATTTCGAGATGCAATGTGCAACGGAGTCTCATATCCATCATTAACAGCATTATCATTGGCGCCTTTACTAATCAAAAACTTTACTACTTCCGAGTGACCTTCTGCGGATGCGATGTGCAAGGGAGTCCAATTTGTATCATTAGCGGCATTGACATTGGCGCCTTTACTAATCAGAAACTGCACTACCTCCAAGTGACCATTTCGAGATGCAATGTGCAACGGAGTCTCATATCCATCATTAACAGCATTATCATTGGCGCCTTTACTAATCAAAAACTTTACTACTTCCGAGTGACCTTCTGCGGATGCGATGTGCAAGGGAGTCCAATTTGTATCATTAGCGGCATTGACATTGGCGCCTTTACTAATCAGAAACTGCACTACCTCCAAGTGACCATTTCGAGATGCAATGTGCAACGGAGTCTCATATCCATCATTAACAGCATTATCATTGGCGCCTCTACTAATCAAAAACTTTACTACTTCCGAGTGACCTTCTCCGGATGCGATGTGCAAGGGAGTCCAATTTGTATCATTAGCGTCATTGATATTGGCGCCTTTACTAATCAGAAACTGCACTACCTCCAAGTGACCATTTTCAGATGCGACGTGCAATGGAGTCAAATTTACCGCTCCAACAGCATTGACATTTGCGCCTTTACTAATCAAAAACTGCACTACCTCTAAGTGGCCATTTTCAGATGCGATGTGCAATGGAGTCCAATTTATATTTTCAACGGCATTGATATTGGCGCCTTTACTTATCAAAAACTGAACTAACTCCAAGTGGCCATTTTCAGATGCGATGTGCAATGGAGTCCAATTTATAATAGTAACGGCATTGACATTTGCGCCTTTACTAATCAGAAACTGCGCTACCTTCAAGTGACCTTTTTCACATGCAATGTGCAATGGAGACAAATTTATTTTATCAACGGCATTGACTTTTGCGCCTTTACTAATCAGAAACTGCACTACCTCCAAGTGACCATTTCGAGATGCGATGTGTAATGGAGTCCAATTTTGCTCTTCAACAGCATTGACATTTGCGCCTTGACTAATCAAAAACTGCACTACCTCCAAGTGACCATTTTGAGATGCAATGTAGAGTTGAGTCCGGTTTTGTTCATTAACAGCATAGACATTGGCGTCGTTAGTAATTAATTTTTGGGCTACATCAGAGTGATCATTTTGAACTGCTTTGTACAATGGTGTCTCTTTCAACCAATCAGCACTGTTAATATCAGCGCCTTTGCTAATCAGAAACTGCACTACCTCCAAGTGACCTTCTCCGGATGCGATGTGCAAAGGAGTCCAATTTTCCTCTTCAACAGCATTGACATTGGCGCCTTCACTAATGAGAAACTGAACTAATTCCAAGTGGCCATTTTCAGATGCAACGTGCAATGGAGTCCAATTTGTGTTATCAGCGGCGTTGACATTGGCGCCTTTACTAATTAGAAACTGCACTACCTCCAAGTGACCATTTCCAGATGCGATGTGCAATGGTGTCCAATTTTCCTCTTCAACAGCATTGATATTTGCGTCTTTACTAATCAGAAACTTCACTACTTCCAAGTGACCATTTTGAGATGCAACATATAATGGCGTCCGTCGTTTATCGTCGATAGCTTCAATATTTGCTTCTTTGTCGATCAATAGTTGAACCATATCTATAAATCCATTCATAGCGGCAAAATGAAGTGGCGTCAACTTGTCATCATTTTCGGCATCTATTTTGGCACCTAGGCCTATCAAGTATCGAACCCTTGCTATTTCTCCGTTGTGTGCCGCAACGTGCAAGAGCGACCAATTTTTATTAGCTATATTGTTTATCTTAGCATTTGTGTCTAATAAAGGCGGAGATACTATTTGTTTTTTGTTATGGACTACAGGATTTGTATCCTTTTTATCAACTTCTTGCATTTTCTGCCTTTCACTTTGCCCTAAAAACCAAATAAATTATATTTTGATGTTTTAACGATTACTAGATAAGTTATTGGTTTTTAATTTATTTGTGCTGAAAGTTATAATTACAACAGAAATTCACGACAAAGTCATACTTTTTTTAGTAAAATAATGGTGTAGTAAAAACTTCTTATATTTTACCTGTAACTATTCCAGATGGTTGCGGTTGGTTAGATTTATCCATGCTTTTCTCAATTTTGACCTTGCTTTTGCAGAAACCCGGTTGGGTTGCCAATATCTTGACAACATCCAAAAATGTTTTACCATCCTTATTGACAGCATCGCAGATTGCTCCTTTTTTGAGGAGCAAATATATCAGTCGATCAGAATTCTTCTTGGCGCCTACGTGCAGGGCAGTATCACCATCGTCATTCTGCGCGTTTATATTTGTTCCCCACTTTTCCAATAATAGTTCCTTAACTATTTCATACCTGTTCTCTTCTACGGCACAATGCAGAGGTGTATTGTTTTTATTGGTTTTATCCACAATATTTAATAAATGAACACTGCAGAAGTTGAGCAGACTTTGGACTTTTGGCAAATCATTATTCCTGATGGCCTGAAAGATATCTTCTTTTAGCACATCTGCAGAAGACTTTGGCAGATTACTTGCCATTGTAGATATGAAACTTTTTCATTTACATTTTAACCATTTATATTTTTTTATTTATCACTAAACATCTCTCTATTTTATTTACCGATTTGACTTTGCACAATGTGACAAGTACACATTCAATTATCTTATATATAAAAATGGAGCTCTCTTTCAAATGTCCAAGTAAAACTCGACAACGGCTAAACCGATTTGGCCAGTCTTAGTCTTAAAAAATTCGTGCCAATCCAGAGAAAGTTCAAAAGGTGAGAAATTATTTCAAATCCGCGTAGAAACTTTACATTTTTAATTTGAAAATTTTTGTAGAAGCGTAATTTAAATAAAACAATGGACGGTGGCTAATACGTGAAATGACAAACGGTTTTGACAGATGTTAATAGAATGTTTTACGTGAATATTATTTAATTATGATTAAATGGTAGTAAGTGGTTTTGATTGTAGTTTTATTTATATACAAAAAACGTTAGTAAACGGGCCGCAAGTGTTACTAGAAACTCAAAATATCAACTTTTTTGAAATGTTAATATGAAAATGCACTTTTCGGCATATGTTTTCTCAAACACGGTGCTCTGAAAGATCTCATTTGTATAATTATATACTCATTGATATTTATAAAACATTTTCTAGGTTATATTAATTTTTATTTATGTTATTTAAATAGAACCTAAATTTGGTATCGATCAAATGGACATTTTGTCGAATAACATTTTCCCAGTTATAATTTTCCAGAAATAATTCCGAAGAATAGATTGTAATATATGATGGTCCGGGGTTAAAAAGGTCCACCAGCGATGTGTCAAAAACCAGTAAAGTTAAGCATTGTTTAACAGGGAATTGAAAAGTAGAGGGACAAAGATGTATAACTAGCTATATCATTGATTCTCATGACTTTGCTATCTGGGGATAAATTGTAATCTTTGAAAATCCATAATAAAAGTACTTTCTTCCGTTGGTAGTTTTTAAGCAATAGTTAAAAGTGTAATTATTTTGTAAAATACCTGTAAAATTAAAATAAGACATTAAACCTGATTGGCACCTGGCCGTTCCAAGTTACCATGTCTATGTGGTAAAAAGGTCTAGATAACAATTTTTTGAAAGACAGCAAAAAAGCACATTTCTACAATGATGAAGTAGCTGGCAGTTTTACTGAACGTAGTCAGATAATTGTTCGTTTAAAATGTGTTATTTGTTGTGATATAATTCGTTTGCTTTTCATAATATAGTTTATATTTGCTCAAAGTCAAATTGGACCTTTGTGCCTCGCCCTGCTCTACATATATACTTTTTATTAAATTTACTTCAATTCATCGAATGTTACTTGAAACTTTTTAAGAAGCAGGTCAAAGAAGAAATACTTAATTCATTTTCTATCTCTCCTCTCTCCTCGCAGAAATTTGAAAATTTTGTATAAGCTTAGTAGTATTATTTACAATTATACACAAAATCCTGAATCAAAAAAAAATCTGAAAAACTTGAAACGTAATCAATAAGTCGAAACTCCAAAAATGACTTGGATTAGATTATACCATGTTTTCTGTAGAAAGTGTATAAAACTTCCAGTTTGATTGTATTGATAAAATATAGACAAACTAATGGGGTTTATAGCAATCAAACAACACATCCTTATACACTTAAAGTATTAATATTTTTGATTCTCTAGAAATTATTTAGAATATACCTTACTTAGCAAAACAACGTTTGCCGGGTCAGCTAGTATATCTAATAAATTTATCGTTATCATATATCACTTGCAAATTGTCGATTGATAAAAGTAATTAAGCCGGTGCTGGCCAATATGCGGTAATAGTAGAATGGAATTATTAGTGGTGGCCAAGGTGTTCTTGTTCTAGAAATGTCTTTACTGGGTATTTAGGATTTTTTTTCAAAGTCGTAAGGATGAAAATATATTTAAATATACAACCACCCTACTCTTGCAAAAATGTGCGTTGTTAAAAAAATATTTCTTTGTTTGGTTAATGTTATAATATTATCTTGATCAGATAATCCTATTTTGTTCACAAAGTCTGTACATTTTTTTCATATCTGCAATTGTAACTTTTATACTAACAAATAAAATTTAATTCTATCTTTGACAAATTTGTAGACTATAAAATTATCTATATTTTCCCATACAATATAATTTTGTAGGAATACTTTTTTATCTAAAAAAAACATCAAAAACAGTTATTGTAAGATTTTATGTAAAGACATTTATTAAAATATTCAAAGGAACTTTTGAATAGCTCAACAGAATAAAATTATGTCTTTAGATGAATTAGAGAGCATAAAATTATCTACATTTTTGTCTAATAATATAATAGGACACAATTTTATCTTATATAAATAAATAACTTTAAAGTTCTAACCAAACTTTTATATGCTATCCAAAAAATGAAATCAAATGCAGTTTTTACAAATATATAGAAGACAAAATCATGTACATTTTTGTCTTATAACATAATCCTGTACGAATAATTTTTATATTTTAAAAAAGGCACAAAAATAATTGACACGTATTCGTACTTACTCGAAGGATTTTTTGTGTACGTATAACTGTATATATGTATACGTATATACGTGTATATGTATATATATATGTATGTATGTATATGTGTGTATATATATGTAATTGTATGTATATGTAAGCAATTTTCTTCTTTGAAAAGATTTGCATATAAATTATGCTAATCAATCGAAAAAGGGCGCTCAGAGTATAAAAGAAGAGAAGACTCTTATATACACTTATATATATATATATATATATATATATATATATATATGTGTGTGTGTGTGTATGTGTGTGTATAGGAGAGATTTGCCTTTGTCTATTCTAGTAACACTTGCTACAATTGCTGAAATGCATAAGATCACAGCACTGTTGTGAATTTTGCTTACACAATTGTTGAAATGTAGATTTTGTACTAAATTTACACTATTTTATTGTGTCAGGTTTTAGTACATATATTGAAATATTAAAGTCTAAAATTGCATCATTGTGGTGCCCATAATACGTCCTGGAGAACTCGTAGATCTTGTCCCTACTTCTCGGAATAGTCCATCATTTATTCTTACTATTAGTGAAATATTCCATAGAAAACAAAAATATACTACTTTTATTATGTCAGGTTGTAGTACATATATTTAATTATAAAAGTCCAAAATTTCGTCAACGTAGTGCTAACTGTACGTTCTGGAGAGCTCTCTAAATTTGTCTCTACTTTTCGGAATAGTCTACAATTAGTGAAATATCTAATAGAAAACAAAAATATACTACTTTTATTATGTCAGGTTTTAGTACATGTATTTAAATATAAAAGTCCATGATTGCGTCATTGTGGTCCTAATATTACGTCCTGGAGAGCTCGCTGAATTTGTCTCTACTTCTCGGAATAGTCCATCATTTTCTCTCACAATTGGTGAAATATTCCAAAGAAAACAAGAATATACTACTTTTAATATTTCAGGTTTTAGTACATGAATTTAAATATAAAAGTCTAAAATTGCATCATTGTTGTCCTAATATTACGTCCTGAAGAGCTCGTAGAACTTGTCTCTACTTAGGAAGGAAGGGGGCGCTTCTTCGAGGATTTTTTTTTCGATGTTTCAAATCATTCTGAATCGAATAAGTTTAATCTTATATATAAAAATGGATCGCAAAATGTGTTGGTAAGCGCATAACTCAACAACGCCTGGACCAATTTGGCCAATTCTTTTTTTAAAATGTTCGTTGAAGTCCAAGGATGGTTGTTACGGCAAAAAAAAACGAATAATTGCCGGGAAAACCCTAAAAACAGCCCTTTTCTTCTTTAATCGAGTAGGCAACGCAATTTGTAAAAAAAACAATGATGTAGTTTTTGATAATCTAATTTTGAATATATTTAAATAAACATAGAAATATCTTTCTATTAATCAAGCTATATTGGCAGCCAAAAACATTGGTGTGAATTAATTAAATTTCAAAATTCAAGAACAAATTACAGGCGAATCAGTTGGTTCGGCAACTAACCAAGACGATCCACCGGAGTTTTTAAACTCGCTGGATTTGCTAGGATAGTCACCTCACAATCTTCAATTAAAGGTTGGATCGGCAATTATAATGTTGCGAAATATCGACCAACTATATTCAAAGGATAGTATAAAGCATAAGATGTTCTCGCACCATGCATCCCAATGCGTTTCCAGTGCGTTTATGGTATCATTAAGTGTTTGTGGTATTAATTTAGAAAACCCATGTTTCTCACATGGAAAATTGTATGTTGTTTGTTCCCGTATTGGAAAACCATCAGATTTGTTTGTCTATGCGCCAGGTAATCAAACAAAAAACATCGTTTATCACAAAGCGCTA